GACTCACAACAGGCTAAAAAAAATTGTTTAAAAGGATAATATGTGATTAGCTCTACAGAATGAGCGTACATTCATGGACGATTCTGTCATGTTTGCTGTGGTTGTTATGGAAATCCCATCGGATTCCCCAATAGTGACCCTTGCTAAGGCCCAATCATTTCTTGCAAGAATTTCAACTTGTATTTCCTGATAACCTTCTGATCTATTACCTCTTTTACAGGATATTTAACATGCTATAGATCACATTCTAGGTTTGTCTATCAAATTTGCATCACTATAGAATGAATCCTACTGAGCATGCTGAGCTTTAGAAGCAAGTGGTGAGCTCTTTTACAAAGGATTCGTCAATGAGAGTTTAAATCTTTGTGCGGTTCTCGCCCTTTTAACACTTGAGAAAGATGGTTCTTAGAGGATGTACATTGATAGTCGCGCCATCAATAAGATCATTGTCAAGTATCATTTTCCAATCCCTCAACTTGATGATATGATGGATATAATGGTCGATGTCACAATCTTTTCCAAAATTGGTTTAAAGAGTGGGTATCATCAAATTAGAATCCGCCCAAGTGACGAGTGGAAAACTACCTTTAAAACGAAGAGTATTCTTTACGAGTGGTTGGTCATACCTTTTGGACTAACCAATGCTCCTTCCTAGGATTCATTATCTCAACTATAGAAGTATCAATTGACCCGCAAAGATTCAGGTAATCGTTGATTGGCTTGACCCCAAACTATACATGATGTTAGGAGTTTTCAAATCTTAGCTACATTTTTTATCGTCATTTCATCAAGTTTTTAGTACAATCGTGGCTCTTATCACGGAGTGCATGAAAAGAGGGAAATTTCATTGAACACGGAAGCGGCTTAGGCTTTTAAGTTAATCAAAAAGCGAATGACAAAAGCTCCTATCATGCGACTTCCTGATTTTTCCAAAGTTTTTGATGTCGAATGTGATACGTCAAGAATAGGAATGGGTGGAGTCTTAAGTCAGGGATATCATCCTATTGCTTATTTTAGTCAGAAATTAAATGATGCCAAACAACGGACTCAACTTATGATAGGGCGTTGTATGCTATTGTACAAGCTTTACAATATTGGCATCGTTACTTTTTATCCCAGGAATTTGTCCTCTATTTAGACCATAAGTCTTTCGCCTCCTTAGTTCCCATAAACGGATAAAGTGTAGGCATGGCCGCTAGATCGAATATTTGCAAGCCCTTCTTTAGTTTTGAAAAAGGTAATGCTTTAAGCTGTTGCATCTCCCTTTTGTCCATCATGAGTATCAAGGTCATAAGTTTTGAAAAACTTAAGGAAGAGCACAAATCATGAATCGATTTCAAAGACATTTTTCTTGCTTTACAAAATGGGAAGATGGAAACTATTGGTGGTTTCTATCGGGATGAGGGCTATCTTTTTAGATCCAATAAGTTATGCGTCCCTAGGATTTCAGTATGAGACTTTATATTTTGGGATAAGTCATGCCAGCGGCTTGGCTGTACATTTTGGACAAGACCATAGAGGAAATTGAACGTTAATCCTATTGACTCAATTTAAAAGATAGATGTGGCTAAGATAGTTAGTACATACAACACATGTCAACGAGCCAAGCAAAAGAGGCAGAACAAGCATTTCTATATGCCTCTTCCAGTCCCTAGTTGCCCTTGGCAAGACATTAGTATGGATTTCGTACTAGGATTGCCACATACTTCAAAGAAACATGACTCCATTTTCGTTTTGGTAGATCGTTTCTCGAAAATGGTACACTTTATCCCTTACAAAACTTCTGATGCATCCAAGGTTGCTAAGTTATAATTTCATGAGATCGTCAAATTGTATGGTCTTCCTAAGTCCATTGTCTCATATAGGAATGTTTGTTTCACTAGCCATTTTTGGAGAACCATATAATGTATAGTTGGCAGTAAATTGAAATTTTCTTGTGCATACCACCGATTAACTGATGGTCAAATTGAAGTTGTTAACTTCAGCCTTGGTAATCTATTAAGGTGTTTGGTCCGAGAAAATCCTAGAAATTGGGATTTAATCCTCCATACAACCCAACTTGCATATAACAGTTCTATGAATCGGTCCATAAGTACGAGTCCTTTGGAAAACTGTTCATGGTTATAAATCTAGGAAACTGTTAGACCTTATTCCCATGTCTTCATTTGCTAGTGTGTCCATGTCAGCTAAGGCATTTTTACATCATCTTCATGACTTGCATATTGAGATCAATAAACCCCTGAAAGCAAATAATGCATCATATAAATTTCAAACTGATTTGTGCATACGACACATTGAATTTAATATTAGGGATTATGTCATGATTCGAATTAAATTGAAACATCATCCATCTGGATTTGCTTTCAAGTTGCAAGCTCGTAGTGCTAGTCCTTTTGAAATTCTAAAGCATGTTGGTCCAAATACATATGTCATTGATTTACCATCACATTTTGACTACCATTCTACCTTCAATGTTGAGGAATTAGTTGCTTACAAAAGCCACTTTAACCCCTTTGATGATCATTTTATACCTCTATCTGTGGACCATCAACTTGAAAATGTTATTCCTGCCCCCGATTCAAAGATGAAATTAATGTTATTTTAGATAAATAGGTTATGTTGACCAAGGATGGAGAGATGCAACGCCTCTTTGTTCGTTGGGTGGATTGCCTTGATTCTAGTTGTACTTAGGAGACACTTCAGCAGCTAGACCCTGATTCATTGGAGCATCATAGAAGTCTCCAAGATCTTCCTTTGCCCGAATCACCACCATGTCTATAAATGTTGAAAGAAGTTTGTTCAACCGCTTAGTTTGTGGTTGAGGTTTGACAGCAATATCTTGTGCTTTACCCAGAGTCGAGTTTTTCTCCCACCTTGAAAGAGTTGAAGCAAACATCCTTCATTGGGACATTTGTTTGGACCATTATGTTTTATTGGGAATGTATGTGTTTGGCCCAAGCCCTTAATGAGGTTTATTGTTTTGTTATTTTATTTATTTATTTAATAATATTATTATTATGACTCAAGTGTCTAAATTTCACCCAATTAATCTGGAGATATGACGACCTTCCCCGGAGAGAGAACAAAGCGCACCATAAGTTTGTTACATATATGGTTGTAATGAGAATTTCCATGAATCACTTGATGAATGAAATGAATTCAGATTGGCTTTGCCCGTGTTCTCCTCGTCTTCCCTCTTTTCCAACTCTCCGGTTTCTTTCTACTCTGCTCTTCTTCTTCAGCCGTCTTCCTTTGCTACCTTCTTTCTTCTGCTGCTGCTGCCTTCTGCTGGAATTCCCCATTGACACTACATCAAAAGGGTACCAAGAAATCTTACAAGCTTGAATTTTCAAGTTGAATGCCTATCACGTGAACCCGATGAAAGAAGAGGTCAATTTCTACTCTCAAAAATGGGGTCTAGCCAGTCAAGTTCAATTCCTTCCAAATCACATCAAATCCAAAGGCTCAAAAATGAACCGCCACCCCAAACACCACTACCCGGCCATTATAAAAACAAGTGTCCAGAAAGCCTTTGTAGAACCCCAAATAATTTCAGACACCTTAGTGGCACTAAGATATGAATATTGGATAACTAAAGTATACTTCAGATTTTTAGTCTCATTTGAAACCCATTTTCGACATAGGAAACATTCGATTTGGAAAATGATATCTAAATAAAAGTTGTAGCTCTTTGAGATAACTTTTCAACGCACTTTGAATTACCTCAATCGGATATCAGGAGAAGAAGTTATGATAGAAAGACTGAAAACTGTACAGTGTCAACCGGATTACAACCGGTCGACCGAAAATTCTCGTTTTTCTCTAGAATTTACATATTTATTTTCATCAATTATTTTCTCAAAGGGCCACTCACGTTTTTGGCAATAAAAATCCCACTAAATTGAAGCATTTAACCTCAAATTTAAATGACACCCATGTTTTCTCTCTTAAATGAAATGTGACCCTTCATTTGCTTTAAATTATGAAATATTTACCTATAAATAGAGACCTCATTTCACTCATTTTTCTTACACCAAAAGTAAGAGCTTTTACATACTAAAGAAAGTTTACAAGAGAGAAAAATAGATAGAGGAAAACTATTTTTCCTAGAAGTTTAAGAAGTGTTTCCAAGCATCAATTCTCAACGGTTTTCAAACATTCAAGGAGTGCATTTCTTTCAACGTCGAAGTTTCATCAAAATTTTCAATCCAAGTTTTCAAAGTTTCAAAAGCATCAATCAAGGTAGGTAGAGGTGCAATGTATTTAATCGTGTTAAATTATAAGTTTCGATTCATGTTAATGTTTGTATGTCAAATGGTACTACGGTACGACATATCCCTCTATGTTAATGGTTGTATGTAAAATGGTACTCCGGTATAGTATACCCATCTATGTTGAAGAAATCTTCGTATGTCAAATGGTGCCCTCGGATACGGCATAGCTCTTCATGTCAAATGGTGCCTCCGGGTACGGCATGTATGAAAAGTTATAAAGTTAATATTTTGAAATATATAGTTTGATCACGAATACACCTATTGAGTTTTTCAACTCATGGGTTTAATCCTATTTTTACAGATTGAAGGAATTCTACCTCAAGCATGAATGAAGGAGAAGATGGAGAAAGATGCAACGAGCCCATAGAAATCCAGTGAATAAGTGATTTGAATTTATTTTTATGAAATGTTTTCCAATGTTATTTCTTTAAAATTTTGAATAACGCAGAATGCGAGAACAAGTCATGTTTTCTTCAAATAAATTACATTTTGTTGTTTCGAAAAATGATTCAATATTTTTGTTTAAAATATTTGAAGTATTGTTATTTAAATTATTATCCGAAGATATAAACTTCCGTCAAAATGTATACACTTGTTGCTAAACCACCGGTTAAGCTAAGTAAAGTAAGTAGCGTTCCGATTCACTAGGAATTGGGACGTTACAGCCTCAGCAAACCCACCACCCACGCAAAAATACAGCCAGATCACAACAATAAAAAGCTTGTGTTGTTGAACAAACAAAGTTGCCACAAACCACAATTTAAAGTAACCACTAAAAGAATATGTCTAAATTCTAGAATACAAAAACTACACTACCAATGCCTAGACAAACAGTATGTCTGCATAATCTGCCAACTTTGTATACATTGGATTGAACCTATTCTGAGTCGTCGATAGGCGCCTAAGAAGGCCATTTTAACAGTGTCCAAAATTAGTCCCGAATTACAATGTCACAGATGATTCAAGGATCCATAACAATGATATGCTGTAACCCTACACTAGAATTTGATTACTCTACAACCAACCAGCACGTGATTTCTTCAGAACCAAACCGCGTGCCTGGACACCTCCACCAATCACCACACAATCAAAGTCAAATTGCCGAAGACACTATAACATGGAGAGCAAAATACATATGGAAAGTGAAATGTATGATCATGGATTCACAGGAGCCCAGACCTAATTCTCAAAAGTTGAAATCCAAAAATGTAGTCTCGGGCGCAAGATTTGCCAGCACTTATGAGTCCACCATCTCATCTTGAATCTCATTGGGTGCAATGAGTCCAGGGATTGAGAGCATCCTCTGTCGCTCCCTCTCTCTCTGAGCAGCAGCTTCCTCAGCATAAAGATCTTTGTTATCCTATGCAATAAATTGATAGAAATCAAGACAATAACACATTCTGACTACAAAAATCAACATTCAACACCTTAAGTACGTGTTTTGGTAATCACTATTGACATATAAATGCATGATTGGTATGCAGTTTTAGATTATATTGGAAGTTAGAATAGATAATACGTTTTTCTTTTTTTTCCTTATTTAATTAATATTATCTAGTATTTTCTAATCCACATAATCAAACATGCATGACATGGATATTCCATACGTAATACTGGACAATATCATAAAAAAGATTTAATATTCTCTTCCTTTTTCAATAAGAGTACAATGCTATCATTCAATCCTCTCTATCAAACATGGCATCGTCCATGCTCATAAAATTCAGACTCGATCTTTTTACTATGTTGTTATTGCAAAAGCAGCAGGTCATCTATATAAAAGAGTGAACCCCATAAGTTACCAAGGCTTTTTTTTCATTTGAAAAAAATAAAGATAAAAACAGAGCTGACGAGTGTAACAAAGTAAAGTTAAGATCTGAGCACGAAGCAGCCTTTTAAACTCTGTTTAAAGAAAACAATGTTTTGAAAAGCAATTTTTAAAAGAATATGTGATTAAAAAGTAGAAAAAATTTTGAGTTTACTTACAGAATATTTTATTGTGTGAATGAGTGGTTGAAAATGAGCATATAAATAGAAAAGAGTTTTCAAATAATAATGGTTGTCATACAGGGGCTTAGTTGCTTGCACTTTTCCCTAAAGCATGGTAAAAAGCACTCAAGAAAAACGAAGCATCTTGACAGAAGGGAAAGTGAAGGTTAGTAGAAGCTCAGACAATCAACCTGAGCTGAAAATTCTTTCGATTGAACGAGAAAGTCTCGTATGTGGTTCTTGAATGCAGAAAGGTCAGCCCTCGACTCAAAGAGTTCATTTACAAATTGGGTCACCTAAAAAGAGACCACAAATAAAAAATTAGTAAATGCAATGGCGCCACATTATTTTTTTATAAAAATAATGTTCCACAGATTTTTCTTTTATACCTCAGTTGCTGTCATGTTGGGGAAAGACGAGCTCAAAAGTTTAATGGTGTACTCACGAACAAACATGGCATTGTTTGGATACGGGTAAGGAACTGCAGCAACGTCCCATAAAGGCTCAGTCAAAAGACCGGATTCGACCTGTTTCATCAAAATTGAGACAGGCTTGTTGGGAAAAGAAAAAAATGCATGCAAATATTATGAAGATAAAAATGGTAAGATGAACAAGTAGAAATTTTACCAGGCAGAACAAGTGCTGCAGCACTAGTACATGCAATTTAAAACCGGGCTTATGGAAGGTGTCCGTTATAACAGCAAAAATTTCTTGCTCTATCGTCAAAAAATAGGTTTTGTAGAACTGATTGCAGAACTCAGAAGCCTGACAAGCAACCAAAGAAATAGTATTGACCAGTTCAGAATGAGTTGTATAGGCGAGAAAACGAAAAATAACCACAAAAAACCTGAAAGTTTTTTAGCATCTCCAATAAAAGGTTAAGTCCAGTTTCAGCAATGTTCCTTTCAGTGTGCCGGAAAGCCCAAACGATGGAATCCATAACAAGCTTTAATTGCTGATGTAAAACCACAATAGAAAACCAGAATAAATCATATGCAGGCATGAGAAATTAAAAACATATTTCCCAATAAATTATAATAACTAGAGCCCAAGTTCAAGAAGAATTGAACAGACACAATCTATTGCGTATGCTATAAAATATGACACATACCTCACTGGACAACTGGATCAGAGCAGGAAAACAATGTGTAGCAATGGCACGAAGTAATGAAAAAAACTTGAGCCGGTGCTCAGGATAATCTTCAAAATTCTTTGTAATCATCTGCAATGAAATAGACAGTGATGGCAAACACAGTGAAAATAAAGACAGACACGATATAAAAGCTCACCCTAGTGTGGGTAACATTTAATTAAGATTTTTTTTCTCAAATAGGACAGTAATATAATGGCATTAAAAATCTCGTAGTTTATTACTATTGTTCCTTACTAGTTTTCATAATTTGAAAAAATTGTACAATGACTTCATTATCAATTTCCTCAAACACATGGTTTTGTATATATACAACCAAAGTGTCATTTTCCTACTACTTGATTTCTTTACAACTTATTAAAAATGACGAATTACAAGTGCAGACTTATCTAGGCTTAAAGGCTTCAGACTCTACATTCGAGCTCGACGCAAGCTACGACAAGTCAAAGTCGCACTATCAAAAACCTAAGCGACCCAATCAAGATTCTACAAAATAATTAAGCTTCAATTTGGCAAATTTATAAATCATTTATAAATTGTCAACTTTCATTTTCAATCACACGTTTTAATCGACTCACAAGGAATATCCACTTATCCACCACTCGTTTCTACCTATTTATAAATTAAACCATTTATAAATTCATCCCAAGCAGGGGCTAAGACTTATATTATATAATTTTCTTCTTTAATCATGTCCAATAGCATGTTTTGCTTAAAAATATCTTGAAGCTAATGTGTGAAAAATAAGAAATTCGATGTCTTATCATAATACTCTAGTCAAACGAGTCAAATAAAATAAGAGATAGGAAGTAAACATGTGCCAAGCAAGTAACCTAAAAAGAAAAAAAGAAAAAAAAAAAGTGATTCATGTGAAACGTGGAGAACAAGGCTTAGTATAAAGTGAGAGAGAGAGAGAGAGAGAGAGAGAGAGA